GTCTTTTCCACAGAGATAATGTAGACATGTTGGGGCACTTTCTTTTAAAAATCCTTGTTTTTAAGTGTATTTACATATATGTAACTTTTTTTAAAAAAAAAAAAAAAAGAAGAAGAAGGCTGCCTTGTGGGAAGAACTTCTTACACTCTGGCCCATCCAAGGTTTACAGTAAGTTCATAGCTTTCTTATACAGGTTTCCACAACAAAAGCAACACCCACCAGAACACAGTTAGAGCTGTGGGCCAATGACCCATAATGGTCACGTAGCTCAACTGCATCACACTTCTAATTATCTCCATTTCATAGCTGCAGATACTGAGGCATGATTGCCTCTCTGCCAACCCATGCTGGGAACCCACATGGTCCTAGCTTGTGCTGTCTACTGAGTTATAAAGATAGTCCTCCTTCTAACCAACTTGCTTCATCTCCTGCCACTAAAGCAGAACCCAACTCAATACTGTCAAAAACTCACTTCTTCAGTGACCAGTGACTGCCACTGCAGAAGACTCCAGGGGGCTGGCTGATGGGGAGTTAGGCTGAAGCCCCAGATTGGGGTCTCCATTATTTCAGTAGTTGCTCTATAGATGGTATCTTAGTGAGGGTTTCTACTGCTGTGAAGAAACACAATGACCATGGCAACTCTTATAAAGAAAAACATTTAATTGGGGTGGCTCACTTACAGTTCAGAGGTTCAGTCCATTATCATCATGGTGGGACATGGCAGCATGCAGGCAGACATGGTGCTGGAGAAGTAGGTGAGAGTCCTACATCTTGCAGGCAACAGGAAGTGGACTGAGACACCAGGCGGTATCCTGAGCATAGGAAACCTGAAATTCTGCCCCCACAGTGACACACTTCCTCCAACAAGGCCATACCTACTCCAACACAGCCACATCTCCTAATAGTGTCACTCCCTACGAGATTATGGGGGGCAATTACATTCAAATTACCACAGATGGTAAACATAGCAACAAAGAAGCATACTCTCACAGCACTTGAACTTTGTGTCTGTATACTCCTCAGGCAACTAAAATGAAGTATGTGGCTTCTCTGAAGTCATGCAGTTAAAGAATCACAGAAAAGGACATTTTCAGGGTCCTGTGACACTAGTTGCCTTAGATAAAAGCTGTGCTGCCCTAAGAAGATTGTTTTACTCAAGCATCGGGGTCTTCAGATCTGAGCATCCAAAGCTTCATTCATATTTACCCCTGATGTATGGAGAAATACTGGAGTTAGTTCGACCAGTCCCTTTCTCCATTTACTTGCTGTGTGACGTAAGTAAGCTATTCAATCTCTTTGTTCTTATTCCTCATCAGTAAATTGGGTGTCAGTAGCTCCCTAGCCTTTCGGGTTGATGTGAGACCTAAGTGAACTGGTAAAGGACAGACTTCTGCATTGTGTAGAATTGGCACTCAATGGGTCCCTGCTCTTGCTGAATTGTTCCTTCCCTATGTTTTCTGGAGAAAAACAATGATTTGGAGGGAGATAGGATCAGGACCATTCCAAGAAGAACCTTTGTGTCTAGAATGTTCTAGGTTTCACCAGATCAGAGGTGTCTTCTTCTTAGTCCTTGCTCTGTGAGACGTAGGAGAACTCTCTGTCTCCAGAGATGTTGAACTGGGTGGACTTGAAACCACATACCTTTCCATAGTCAACCCAATATTCCAAGTGTGGCCCGCATCAGCAGCACCTGGGAGCTGTTGCAAGAGCACATTCTTAGCCCCTCCAGGTCTACCGAACTGGAGTGGGCCCAGTGATCCCCACTCAATGGTCCCTCTAGGTGCCTCTGATACCCACTCAGGCTCACAGAGCCACGCAAAGCAGTTTCACTCAAGTCTGTGATGCCCCAGCAAAAGGGCAAAAGTTTAATCCAGATGGACATAAACTTCACCTGAGATCAGTTATGCCATATTCCTCTTTAAAAAAATGTTTAAAAGATAAAAAATGAAGGCAAAGGCATGGATTTCTACAGGTAAGAAGTCCTCATTCTGTTTGCCTTTATATTTTTACCTTTCGAAATCCCAAGCCTAGCATATGTCAAGATTTACGATAGCATCCTTTCCAGCTCGTTTCTGCTAGTCCCAGCAAGACAGTAACAGGAGAGAAGTTTCCTTTCTTTTTCTGTAGATTTAAAATGAAAAATTTCATGGAATAAAAGCCAAAGAAGACTTGAGAAACAGCGTCAGTAATATCTGGGGGCATCGAATGGTGCCTTTTATCTAGCTATCCTGATTCCTTGTTGTGTTTTCTTCCCACCCCTGCTCCCAGAATGGCTGTTCCATACATCTCATCTCTTGTCTCTCTTCGGTCCTCTGACAAACCCATACCTTCTCATCACCTTGGTCTCAGATGATTGTCTGACTTCATCCTTCATGGAGAAAATGGAAATGACCAGACAGGCACTCCTTTACCTCCTCATTTCCCAGCTGCCACATTCATGGGTGCCCTTTCTCTGACCTCAGACTAGACATCTGGGTACAGATTTGCCCAGCATTATCAAGGTCATTTCCACATGCTCCCCATCTGTCTCATCTCCCAGCTCATGCACACTTCCTCTAGCTGGCCCCATCAATCTTCCCTGTACCTCTATTTCCCCCAATCAGCACACAGACCAGGCATCAGGATTTTCCATCTTAAAGAGAAAAACTGTCTCTCAGCCTCACACCTGCTCTGGCTGTCCACCCCATCTTGCTCTTTCCATCCTCAGCAAACCTATTGCAAGGCTGGTCTGCAGGGATTGATCTGATGGGTCGGTGTCCTGGGGGTTCTGAACACAGAGTGGACCTAGCACATCTGTCCATTCCTGGGTAAGCTACTTTCTTACTGTGTGGCCTTGGGTGAGCTTCTTCTCTTCTTTGTGCCTGGTCTCCTGATCTGGGAACCATCTCTGAGCCAATACTACAGGATCGTGTGGGAAATATGCAAACTGAGTCTGTTCTTGCTTCTTTCTTCTTCCTTTACTTGCCTTTACAACAGCTCTCAATACAGATGCCCTATGACCTCCTGGAAATACTTCCTCCTTGGTTTCCATGACAGCATGGTCTTCTTTCCTGTTCCTTCCCTCCTCACCACGACATGGGCCCCAGCTCTTGGGGCCAGCCTCGGCTTCTCTACACCTGAGGTAGCAGTTAACATCCTGTAGCCAGGGAACTCGCCTCTGGCACAAGGACCCAGCACATCATTCCTGTCCTATGTTTGACGATGGATTCTTTCCTTTGCCAAAAGGCTTCAGGCTCCAGGAGCAGAAGGTAACAGCACTGGGACCATCACTCTTTGCAGTGACTGTCATACCTTTCATAAAGCACCATAAGGTGTGGGAGGGTGAGTCAAGTAAATAACAGACAGGGCTGGGCATGGTGCCTCATGCCTGTGATCACAGGGGTCTACCATGAGTTTAAGGCCAGCCTGAACCCTGTCTCAAAAAAAAAAAGAATGAAATTCATTCTTTTAAATCAAGCACTATGTAGTGTAGGAAGGAGCATCCTGGAGACCCCAGAATAGCCTCAGTCAAATGCCCTTAAAGTTTGGGACATTTCCAGACAGGTCCTGATGGAAAGCACTGTGGAGGGAGAGTCGGGTGAGGAATCACTTCAAGCAAGAAGCTGGTCTTTGATTTTAGCTTCTACCTGTCCAGAGAATCCATTTCCCATCCCTTTCTCCTTTTCTTCGAAGACAGGATATGTCTTGGTGACTGTCTTTTCAGTTAAAAAGATGCCACAGTCAATGGGAAAGTCTCGCTGTCCTCCTATTGGCTTGAGGCCAGGTGACCTTCATCTAATATCTTTAATGCAAGCTTGTGGAAATTTAGCAAAAGTCAGCCAAGGCCCTCTCCTTGCTGCCACAGACACCTTCATTTGGGGGCGAGCTCTGTGGGGCTCCGCTGCAGAGGAGCTCCACCTGGTGCTTATTAAGTCAGCCCCCTCAAAAGGACAGTGCATGAGGAATATGGGAGGTGGGCTTGCCAATCACTGCCAGACCAGAGCTTGTGACCTAGGCTTCATCTGGGAGCAGAACAGAAGGGAGAGAAGGAAATCAGACCCTCCAGAACATCCTTTATGCAGAGAAATTCCCCACTGAGGTCTGAGGAGAAAGGGCCTTCTTCAGTTAGCTGGGCCTTTCTGAGCAGCCCTTGCGGAGCTATAGTATCAAGGCTGTTCCGCAGGTCAGGCTTTGCCTGAAGGCATGGGCAGAGGAACTCCTGTGTGTTGTGATAAGGACATCCTCCACCAGCATCCCAACACTGCTGCAGCAGTGCCCTAAGTAAGAATGAGAAGCCGCTTTCCATGGCAACCGCTTTCTGAATGCCAGCCAGGTGCCAGATGAACCCACAAGGCTCTTCTGAGTGCTAGCTGTAACAGTGCACTTATGTTACTGCTGCTCTCCGCTGTCACTTCCCCTGCTAAGTGTACAGTATTTTGAAGCATTAAGATTCAGTGTTTGAGGCCTTGCTGAGACAGCTAATCATCCTATGTAAAGAGTGTGGCTATTTCAAAGAAAAGACTTAGAGGCTTTGGGAAGGAGCTATTGGCAGCCGAGGAGATAACTCAGAAGAGTGCTTGCTGGGCATACACAAGGACCTGAGCTCAGATATTCAACACCCACATAAAAAGCCAAGCAAGGCTGTGCATAGCTGTAATCCTAGCACTGAGGTGGTGGAGGTCGGAGGATCCCTATTGCCCAATCTGTGAGCTCCAGGTTCTGTGAGAGACCCTGTCTCAAAGAACCAGGTAAATGACAATAGAGGAAGACATCCAACACTGACTTCAGCCTTGCATAGTAGCATGAACGTGTGTGCACACTCCTACACAAATGTGCACACACATGAACATGTACACACATACCTTAAATGCGCACACATGAGCTGTTGTGTGCTGGGAATGACTACAGGTTTTAGAATCTATGTGGGTGGGCTGCTTCTGGGTGGGGGGGAGCTGCTCAAAGGATAACACTTTACCTTTAGGTCTTTTACTAGTGACTTTTCTCTTCTTTGTGACCTGATATTTGATAAGAGACAACTTAAGGGAGGAAGGATTTATTCTGGCTCACAGTTCGAGGGAACAGAGTCCACTGTAGCGAGAGCTGCACTTATCTGTGGGTATAAGGGTGGGTATTTAGAATGCAGTTAGAAATTATATTGAATAAATTAGGGAAACGGAAGTAATAGGCTCTCCTCTAGAATCGATGACTTCCTTAGCTATGGTTGGTTGGTTAGGTTAGTCAACATGGCCAGGAAGGCACGATGGCAGGTAGGATGACTGCAGGAACCCATGCCAGGGCTTGCTCACATCTCAGTATACCAGTGGAGAGGGAAGAATACTGGTACTCAGCCGGCTTTCCCCTTTTTAATTCAAGGACCCCAATCCATGAGATGATGTCATCCACATTAAAAGCTGATCTAACCCCCTTCAGTTAATTCTCTCTGGAAACACACTCATAAATACTTCCAAAAGTGTACTTTCTTAATGCCATTGGTGTTCTTAACCCAATCAAATTGGCAAATGAACCTTCCATCACAGGTGTTCAATTCTGCCCAGATCAGTAAGGAGGCTGGGAGGTCTCAACATGGTCATGCCTGGTGGTCTTCTCTTTGATCTTTCTCTCCCACCTGGAAAGATGGGAACAGGATCTTTGGGATTTGTCTCAGAGGATAGTCTGGTATGGACTCAAACACTGAAGGAATAATGTGTCGTCTGCATTTTGACCAGTTGGGGATCTCTGAAGTAGTCTCCACCTGTTGGAAAAAAAATTTCTTTGATGAGTGAGAGCTACCTTTATCTGTGGGCATAAGGATAAGTATTTAGAATACAGCTAGAAATTGTATCTAATGGTTTAGGGAAATGGAAGTAATAGGCTCTGCTCTAGGATCTAGGACTTTAGCTCTTGGTGGTTGGTTAGCTTTACACTATTACACATGAATTCCTTCCTATTGAGTGGGCCTTCAGTCCATCTAGACAGCTGTTGGCTACCCCCAAGATAAAGGTGTCATGATTGCACCACTGGAGACATCTTGCTGGGTGGGTCATAGGCTTTGCGACTGGGAAGGAATACTGATGGCTTTTCTCCCTTGGTAGCTTGCATAGCATTTTCCAATGCTCTGAGGGCTAGCTCTCAGGAAGGAGGCTTCCAGGTTAGTTCCAGCTTGATCCTTCCAAGTCCTGTGTCCAAAGTGTGTGGTGTCTTTAGCAATAGGGTCTCACATTCTTTTCTGGCTTCAGGGGCAATGAAAACTAACTATACTTTTTTGTAGTACCTTGGACTCCCATGACCAAGAATCAAAGGGAGGTTTCTCATGCCTAACACAAGGGTTTTGGTGAATCTATGGCTGTTGGAATATTATCATCCCATGTGTGTATCCTGCGGGGTGGTGTGTGTGTGTGTGTTTAAGTAAGCTTATAGACTAATGTTCTCTATGACTTTAAAAATATTCTTAGTGATATTTCTCTTTCCTTCCTCCCTCTCCCTTTGTTTTACCCTCCCTCCTCTTCCCCCTTTAAAGTGCTCCCCATTTTTCCCATTTCCTGCTTCTTAGCACCTGTTTCACTGTGAAATACAATTGTAACATTTAAGGAAATGCTGAAAAGAAAAAAACCCAAAGTCATTCATGGATTACTCACTGGAAGTATTTTCTTTTTGTTTCTTCCCTTTTAAAGCCAACTACAAATAATTTAAATAGTTGTTAATACTGGGGAAACCCTTTTATAGTCTGCTTTTCCTATTGAACGTTTGTGTTAATAAAACTAAATTTGAAAGTCATTGCACAATTAAGGAATTGTTGCTTAATGCTGCAACAGTCATAACCCTATATGGGAATATGTCTTTGTACTCCTACCCAGTTAGAAAATGCCATATTAGGCCACGTGTATTAGCTACTTTTGACATCACTCTGATGAAACTCTTGATGGAAGCAACATAAAGAAGACGATATTTCTTCTTGGCTCATAGTTTCCATCATGGCATGGAAGGCATGATGGCTGGTACGGCTTGGTCCATGGGAGTGGGAACTTAGAATGTAGCATGTTCACACCTTGAAGGAAAAGAAGAAGAGAACTTTTAAAGGCCTTCCCCAGTGAGCCACCAGCCAGGCTTCACAGCCTCCCCAAACAGAAAACCAACTGTGGTCGACATGTTCAAGCACACGACCCTGCGGAAGACACTTAGATCCAAACCATAACGACACTGCTCTTCCGGAAAACTTGTTCTCGAGACCTGATGGGATCCACCCTTCTGCTTTTTAGAAAGCAGTTCTACTCAACCCAGTGTCTAGTTGAATATGAGCTCCATGTGGGTTCAAGTAACATGCATGACGTGGGTACTCGGTAGTGTTTGTACATAGTACCTAAGACAGTACTTCCCAACTTGACATCCGGGCTTTCACCAGAAGAGTTCTGTAGTCAAGCAAATCTGGAAATGCTGAGTGACATTAGGATTGGCCATGTGACACTGACAAGGGCTAGGAGTTTTTGTTTGAGTTTCTGTTGCTGTTCTGTTTGTTTGAGACAGGGCCTGCTGTGTAAGTTCAGCCCACCCTTAAACTTACCATCCTTCCTCCATTCCTTGCCGCTCTGTAGTCCTGGCTGTGGCACTCATTATGAACATTAGTGCTCAAGGCTGGAAGAGTTCTACAGGGGTAAAGAAACCACTGTGATGAGCCTAATGTTATAAAAAACGCAATCCTTTAAAGTTATACTAGTTAGTACCCATCAGGACACCGTAGGCATAGGAAAGAATAGCAACCATTGTTCCACATGCAGGAAGAAGGGAAGCTGAGATATGTTTACCCTACATATGAGTTTTATTGGCAGAGTCACAACATTCTGGCCTGGAGGAGGAGAGCAGGTCTTCAGGTCTCAGGAAGAGCTTCGTTAGCCAAGATCGCCACCATGAGTAGCATGCCAGGGTCCTGAAGAGAAAGCGCTTTCCATGCCCTCAGTTTCCCCCAAATTAGAAGAATTAGAGCTTTGAACCACTCCCTGGAAGGGAGAGTTGAACCTTTCATTTCTAGGAAATCAAAAGGGTTGTTTGCTCTGATCGGCTTTCAAGGGAGCAAGTTCCGGACCATGGGACCCCACCTATATCCTAGAAGTTAGGAAGAGACTGGTAAAATCTAGCTATAGCTGGGCATAGTGATACAAACCTTAAATCTCAGCACTTGGGAGGCAGAAGCAAAGCCATGTCCATGAGTTTCAGGCCATCCTGGTTTCTACAGTGAGCCCCCTGACAGTCAGGACTACAGAGAGACCCTGTCTCAAAGACAACAAGGAAAAAATCGAGCTGTAACTCCAGGCCATCTTGGATCCGAGCAGTATGGAGGTAGGCAGGCCTCGCTCACAGCAGCAGAAGGGGAGGAGGAGGGAACCCAGTTATGTGAGAGCGGCAGGGTCACAGCACCCATTGCTTATCAACTCTCTGAAGACAGCTGTAGAGGTGTGTGCCTTGATTTCTGGGAGAGAGAAAGGAGCAGCCAGAGAGTCTTCAACGTAATAATCATTAGAAAAATAAAAAGCATATATTACTGTAGAAATCCCAGGGCAGAATTGAGGGCCTGGTCTGACGTCCAAATGACATGGGCACCGGCTGAGCAGGTGCCCGGGAGGCCACAGGGATTGGTATTTCCTTCCCAGGAATCCCAGCACATTTCGTATTCAAAGCTGTCACTCTTTTCAGACCTCCCCTTCTCTAGCAAGTCCTTGCTGCTGAGCCCCGTTTGTTGCATGTGGCTTTCTTTCCCTAGTAAACCAGTGGAGATTCCTCTGGTGGCACTGGTGGCTCACCTCAGATGATTTACTAGATAAACATGGCTGTTAGTTTGACCACTCTCTCGTTATTATAATTGCTAATTAGTTCCTCTTTACAGGAAGTGGCTATCACCCTAGTTTATGGGTGTTCATCTGATTTGCCTGAAACCTCACATTGACTTACTCATGGATGCAGAGAGGACACTCAGAGCTGGCTACTGCCACTTGTGTGGACACTGAAGACACACACAGCTAGAGCAGGAGTCTGGTATTTGACAGCCCCTGGATCAAAATGTCCAAGACACGGAATGGAAGTACTGGGCGGGGGTAGCTTCAGAGTACTGTGACAGCAGTTGGCCAGGACTAAATCAGGACCTCTAGAAATTTCCCTCCCTTCCCACTCTCCCTCCCTTCTGTGCTGATTCCACTACCCCACCGTCTGGAACTCTTTCTTCTGAGATAGCCTTTAACATCAATGTCTGGTTCTCAGGCTCCAAGACGGTCATCAGTGTGACCCCCACTCTATGGCAGCTGAGCATTTGAGTGTTTGTCAGATACACTTAGGAATAACAGTGGGACTCTAGGGAAGAAGATGAAAGGTAGATGTTACCGCTGAGAGGATGCAGAATTAATTGAACGATAGTAGTTGACTATAGCTTGGTGAGGTTAAATGAGATGAAATAGGGTCCTGGCAATTTTGTGCCCTTACAGAAAGCAGCACTGCCCAGAGAGGGCGTGCCTATGACAGACATCCTCTGACTTTCAGGGGCACTGCTACAAACATTCAGACACCAGGAAAAACCTTTCTGGGATCAATGGGATGGCTCATGTGGATAAAGGCACATGCTACCAAGCCTGATGACCCAAGTTCAGTGTCCAGGACCCACATGGCGGAAAGAGAGAACTGGTTTCCATAAATTGTCCTCTGACCACCACCTCTGCATGTGCACACACACACACACACACACAAATAAATATGATCTAAAATTAATAAAGAAATAAGCCTTTTTGATTTCTCATAAAGTAAAAATCCCCCCCCCCAAACAAACACTGGTGAATCTTGACCATGACATGGTCAAGGTCCCCTTCCCCCCCAAAAAAAACCCCAAATACCAGTGAATCTTGACCATGCCATGTCATATTTCATGTCCTCACGTCTCATTTCTCCTCGAGATGTAGAAGTCAAATCATCTTAACAGTATGCATGACGTGCTCTGAGAGCAACGGGAGAGGGAGACATGGACATTGCTATTTCTCTTTGGACATCTTTTTCCAAGAGTATTGTGTAATCCCGTGTTGGTCAGTTTCTCCAGGTCTCATATTTTCATCTGTCAGAAAGACAGTGAGTGGCCCTCGCTGTGTGCAGGCTTTCCCTGTGAGAGCTCTACGGAGTGCAAACCACTGACCCGGGCATCTGTTCACAGCTTCATGGGAGCATGAGATTGAGAGCTGATGGTTTACATCCTATGTAAGAGAGACATCAAACTTCAAGGAGCGAGGCAGAGGCGTGTAAGATGGTGAACGAGGGATGTGGGGTAGCACGGGGAAGTGCAAGAGACCACCATAGCAATAATGCTGATGGCTACACATACCCCTCTTGCATGGACAAGGCATATCTACATGTTGTCCTTTGGAGAAAGGAGAACCGAGCAAAGGCACCAAGACCCCTGTACCTTGAACTTCAAAATGAGCAGGAGTTTGGACAACACTTTCCCGAATGCCCACCGTTTATTTACCATAGATTCAGGTTTCAGTCATATCAGAGAAGCAGCATGACATTTTGCTTCTTGTGGTCGATCGTTGTTCATGTCAACGGCCTTTTGATGTCCTGCTGCCCCACAATCACAACCTTTAATGTTAAGCTCCTCCTGTGTGTTAGCGTTCTCAGAGCACTGCATACATTATTGATTTAACCAATGTTTGTGGAGCAGCTTCTAGGAGTTTTACATATATTATTTATTTATTTAGCAAACATTCATTGAACATTTATTATTGTACCTGGCACCACAGAGCCTAGGGAGGCAATCATGACTGAAGAATGAGGCCCAATATTTAGGAACAGACTAGGGAAAGGAGACAGATAAACAAATACACAACTACTGTACACTATGCTAACTGCCACCACAGGCTGATCTCAGAACCTTAGAGGATTCTTGGTTATGACAGTGGTACGGTGTGGTTAGAGAGACTGTTTAGAGGAAGTGGCCTCGAATCTGAGTGTGGATTGCCAAGCAAGGGAAGTGGGAAGAACATATAGGCAAAAGGAAAAGCCTGTGAGGTAGAGTAAGAGTGGAAGAAGAGAGAAGTGTGTGTGTGAGTGTGTGTGTGTGTGTGTGTGTGTGTGTGTGTGTGTGCTCACGCACACACACATGCACCAGGAACAGCAGTCAGGGAGGTCACCCCAAGCCAGGTGTGATCAGAGAGGTCACCCCAAGCCAGGTGTGATCAGTCAGACAGGTCACCCCAAGCCAGGTGTGATCCGTCAGGGAGGTCACCCCAAACCAGGTGTGATCTTCTCAACAAGGCAAGGTGGGTTCTCCCATCCTCATTTTTCACCTGAGTGAGTTAAGGCTTAAAGTGGCAGGAGAAAGCAAAAGAGGACACTTGGAAGGGTAATTAGACAACATGAAATCACATCGTTCTCAGAAAGATTTGCTAAGGAGAAAAGGGAAGTTGCTGTCTAGAGCCTGTCAGGACTCTGTTCAGCCCACGGTTTCCTTCCTGGCCACTCTCTCCCAGCGGTCAGCAATTTCATGTTTCCATGATCACTGCTTAATACAGCATACACAGAGGAAATACAGCATAGTTTGGGTCTATCGGCCTCCAGAACCTGTTCTTTCTTTAATTTGGAAAACACAGTGTGGTTTTATCGTCAGTGAAATTGTTCAGGGCACTGGGGAAGCCAGGTGCTTGGGCTTAGCCAGGAGGCAATCACCTCGGGCAGGTTCCTGGGTAGCAAAAGCTACTTCCCAGCAGTCCCTGGGAGTCCAAACCCCAGAGCCGGTTCTGCAGCCTTTCTGTAAAGCGCTTGAGGAGGGAAACACTACAGCGCTACAGCGTTGGTGGAGCGTAGTCAGTGTGAGAAAGGCACTCTGCTGGTCAAAGTGGCAAGACCTGGCAGCTTTTGAAGGACCAAAAGAACTTGCCTCTGAGAGTTCTCCTAAAATGCAAGATAAGACTTAAAACTTTGACCAAAAGTAAAAACTGCCTATGCTTTCGTGTATTTGCCAATGAATAGATCAGTGAAACAGTTTCACAGATGTAACAAACACTTTATTATCCAATACCAATAAATGTCACTTACTCTTTCCCCCTGTGCTCCCACACCTAGCTAGGCAAGAAAGCATCCCTCCCCTGAGCGGCACCCCCAGGCTTCACTTACCTTAATAAACCCTTTGTCTGAAGAAAAGCACTGTTTCCCAAGGCAGAAAGCGTGAGCCCTACATTTAATACACGTGGCCTATCTGCCAGCTTCACGGTTTTCTACCCTCAAGGCAAAAACACTCGTGAGGAACAGAATTGCAAGATGGTAGCTTTCATGGCTCCCTAAAGGCGTCACACTGTGGAGTGCTCAGCTTATCAGGGATCCCAGAGTGCCTGGTGCTGCACCCCTGGGCTGAGGGACAAGGCTGATGTCTAATCACCGCCTGGGGCTGCTGGCAGCAGCACGCTGAATTAGGGAGAACACGTGTGCTCACTTGAGTGGGGGGAAAATAACTTCTATGTAATTTATAGCACATGGTTTGCTTGGGAATGGGCTCTTGCTGTGAAAATTCTATTGAGTGCAAACCGCTGACCTGGCACACTGTTCTAACGGCCCCAGGGGAGCCTGAGTTTGAGAGGTGATGCCTCCGATCCAGTCTGAGATGTCAAACCTGGACTAACTTAAGGGGAGGTGTGTAGGATGGGGAGGGCAGCATCTGATGGTCCCACATTTTACAGCATTAGAGACTTTCCTGCTTGATTCCTAGCCTTCTTCCCCACCTCCCCTCTGCAGCAGAACTCTGTTGAGGCGTAGCGGACGAGGACAGAGCCTGTATTTAAGATGCATGGGGTTATTTGATATTCACTGTGAAATGACAGTGTGTAGAGTTAACTAGTCCATCTTTCACTCCAGCTAGCAGTTTTGTTTGTGTGTATGCCTGTGTAAACAGGTCAATATGTGTATATATGTGTGTGTATGTGTGTGTGTGTGTATGTTTATAGATGTGTGAGAGTATCTTTATGTGTGCATGTGCCTATGCGCGTGCTCTGTGTGTGTGTGTGTGTGTGTGTGTGTGTGTGTGTGTGTGTGTGTGAGATGAAAACATTGTCTACTCTCTCATCAGGTTTTGAATGTCTGATATCATTAGCTATAACTGTATCAGGTCCCTAGAACACATCCACTTCGTATGTAAAAGCTGACACCCTATGACCAATATCTCCCCATTCACCTACCACTAGCCCCTGACGGTCCCCACCACCTCTCTGCTTCTAAGATTTCGCACGCAGCTGAGCTCCTATTACTTGTCTTTCTTTGTCTATATTATATCACCTAGGATAATGTCTTCCAGGTTCATTCTTGTCACAAACGGTAGGTTTTCCTTCTTCTTAAGACTGAATAATACTCCATGGTGTTTTTGTGCCCCAACGTCTTCATGCATTAAACTGTTGATGAACACTCAGTGTTTCTGTGTGGGAGCTCTTCCAAACAGCATCACAATAGGTGTGGGTATACAGGCACCTTCTCAAGATGCTATGGCTTCCTTTGGGTTCATGCTCAGATGTGTGGTTGACGGATTATAGGGTAGTTGCATTGGTGATTTGGGAGGACTTTCCATGCAGCTTCCCACAATGGCTGGAGCAGTCAATGCACATCGCCATCAACAATGGACAGGGGTCCCACTTTCTCCATACCCTTGTTAGTCCTTTTGACTCTTTGTCTGTCTGATAAAGGCTTTCCTAAGAAGTGGAGGAACTAGCTCACTGAGGTCTAGATTTGTATTTCAGCCAGGCATGGAGGCTCACACCTATAATTCCAGTACTCAGGAGGCTGAGGCAAGAGAATCTGACATCAAGGCCAGCATATGCTACAAGACAGATCTTGTCTCAAAAGGCAGGGGATGGGGTAGGGTACTTCCATGAGGATTATGACTGGACACCTTTCGTACACCTGTTGGTTGATCATTCGGCTTCTTTGCCTATCAAAAGTAGGTTACTGGGGAGTTGCTACTGACTTGTGTAAATTCCTTATGTGTTTTGGACATTAACCCTTATCAGGTATATAATTAGCAAATACTTCTTCCTTTCTGTGGGTTTTCTCTTTATTTTGTTGCTTCCTTCATGATACAGAAATTTTCTTTAGTTTGAGGTAGTCCCATTTGCTTAGTTTTGCTTTTTGCATCATATGTTTAATAATCATCACTAAAACATGTGGGATTTTTTTCTCTGTATTGTTTTCTGTCATTTTA